ACCTGGTCTCCTTGTTGTTTCTTGCTGGCACTTACCTTTGGCGCTTGGTGCCCCCTCACGGTGGTGCTTTCACACTGCCGGGTGCTTGTCTCTCTTTTCTAGCCAAATCTTCCCCATTGAAATTTCGCGTTTTTTCACAATTTCTTTTTCGTTTGCCGTGAAACTAGTTATTTTTTTGTTGCAGACTTGCTTCTTCAGTCGGCGTCTCGGCCTTACTCCCCAATTTTACTAGACATTAGTTCTATTTTTTCCCGCTCAATTACACTCAATATCTCACTACTTGCCTCTCTTAATTCCCGTGCTCAGCATATCCTTTCACTGCTCGCGCCGCCCATTTTAATTTCTTTCGTTGTTTTGTCCGGGCCTCGTTTCCCTTTAGCAGCACACGCATAACTCTGTCTTTTGGCTCTTGCTCTCAAACACAACGTATTATAAATATCTCTCGCCACTCTCTTGCCTTCTTACCCTTTGCGTTTCTTGGGCTGGCTGCCCGGCGCCCCCTTAACCACACTTATTACTGCTCTTTTCCTCAACTAGAATTTGCTCGCAACTTATCACTATCAAACCTTCTCCACTTTGTTCTTACTTACTCACACCTACATTCTTCCCTTCCTCGGCTCCTCAGTCTTCTACCCAAACTCGACCACTTATAGACACTTAGCGTCCTTAGTCTGGCGCGCACTCATATGGTTAATTACTTTACAATTCTCCAGTACCCTTCTTACCCCTCGCGGGCTTGGGCTCGGTTTCGTCGGTTTTCAAGCCTCTCTAAATTTTATCCCTCCCATCCAAGTATTAGTTCAAATTCAACACTCTCCACCTTCATTACTATGCCCAGTTATACACTCCTAACCTAATATTCTCTAGTCGACTTTGCTTCTTCCTCTCCGGGGGCTTTGACCTCACGATTCGGCGTTTCTCAAACCACTCTTCTTATTGTCCCGCTCTCCAAATCGAGTAATACCTCGTCCCATGACCAAATCCTTACTATCTTAATTGGGTTTAAGCCCCGGTACCGTCGGTGTCATTTTTCTGCACCTGGCTGCGGTATCGTCATGGGGCAGGATTGGTCATGGGTTCCTTTCGTAACCTAACGTCGCATTCTGTTCTTCTTGTCGTCCTTCTGGTGTTCCTGCCTGTGGCATTGTCCGCCGCGCTGCGCTCACAATTGAATACTGTAAGGAATTATCACTATAGCCATTTACACTAATTAACAGTGTTTTAAGTATCTTTGCAGGTACATAGAGGATTTTACTTCAATCTTGGCACCATACATAAACAAATTTTATAACTACGATACTGAGCAGTTTGTTCGGGGCGGCTAGTCTCTTCTTAGGGCTTTAAAAAATTAAGCCTCTTCTCTATTTCGTAATATACTCTGGTTACTAGCTACAGCCCCAGTGAGCCGGCATTTTCCTGGCTCTCTTTCCCCCCTTTTTCCTACTATCCTGTCTATTATATACTACTTTGCTTTGCTACTATCCTTATCTTCCTTCCGAGAAGGTTGTGTTCTCTTTGGCGCTTTGGCTGAGAGCCTCTCGCCTTGTTTGTGCCATCTCTGTCCCCCGGTGCAGAGCATGGCAATCGTCTCAGACTTTTCTTGACCCGCCTGGTTCGTTTTCATCCACTTTGGTGGGTGTTTGCTGACTGTCTTCTCCCTTCCCTAAGTGTAAAAGTCTATTTTCTCTTACCCGATCAGGGCACTTCTATGTTAGTACTTGTCTGAGCCATATGACCAGTCCCACTTGGTGGATGGCAGGCTCCCCCTCCTCTTCTCGCCTCCCTTCGACTGTTTAAATTATTCTAGTATTAATCATCCCTTCTTTTTTCGTAAAACTCTTCGTTAATTGCGCTGCTTTTTCTGAACCTCTCTGTCGACAGGGCGCCTTCTCTCTGTCGCCTACCGCCCCTTCTGCTGTAGTATGCGGGTAATCGGGTTCTTCGCCTTCTCTCTGGTCGGTCATTAGGCGTGAGGTTGTTCGCTGGTTTCGCCCGACCTGCTTTTCAGAGTTTGATGCCTCGGTCGAGTGGACCTCCTCGACCGGCAACCACTCTCTTTCGTTTTTATTTTCCTTTACATGTTACTTCTTACTCTATCCGTCCCTGCAAGAACCCTTTATAGTTCCTCTACCAGATTCTCAATTTTTCACTTCAATTTGTATCAAATATTAATCAAGTTCTCGGCCACTTCTAAAATTATATCTAAAAATTTGTCGCTAAACTTTATCCTCCATGGTGGCCTAGTCCAACACTCTCCATATTTGGATTCCTATTAATTGCTTCTCTCCCATTGGCTTAATTCTGTTGGTCATTTCTGGCCATGCTTGACATGTGAAGTTTACTGGGTTTCCTTCACACTTTTACTCCCAAATGGGGTCAAGCACCCCTTCAAAGTCCTCCCAGTAGGAACCCCACTGGTTTGCTGCCTTGTGCAACAACCCAGTATCCCATCTCAAATTACAAAAACTATTCTAATTCTGTTGGACTTGGCCATCTGTGGTTTTACCATTGCTACTTTCTTTTTCTCAGTGGCTCTGGAAAAGCCAGAAAATGTTAAGTTAGGCTATGTTAGCCAATAACGATATAAAACTATACTATCTATCATTGAACTATATCTAGCCTTCTCACTTTCACGCAACAACCATGCATAAAAGGCCTAGATAAAGTGTTGCCCATCTTGACATGGAATCTTCGATTCTGTATAAAGTTTTTTATAAAAATTGGCAAATTGCCCCGCAATCCGAATTTGTACAAATCACAAAGTATCCCGTATCGCCAACAGCGATCATAGGCCTTCTCTATATCAAAAAACACAGACACTAAGTGCTGTCGTCGAACAAACGCTTCGCGTATAGATGTTTCAAGGTTTACTAAGTTATCAGAGGTACTTCTGTTCCTACGGAATCCACTCTGATGTGGTGAAAAATAGTTCTTTTCCTCTAGGAGGAACATCAGGCGTCTGTTTACCATTCTCTCATAGAGTTTACACAGACAACTTGTCAAAGAGATTGGTCTGTAATTAGAGGGATTCTTGTGGTCTTTACCAGGCTTGGGAATGGGAATAACGATAGATAGCCTCCAAGAGTCAGGAAAAATATGTTCTGTCCATATTCTGTTAAACAGACACAGAAGATTACAAAGGGAATTTTTTGACAGATTTTTAATAATGCTGTAGTGAATTTTACCCGGTCCTACAGCACTATTACCCGAGCGAGAGATCGCTGTATGTAGTTCTATGCTGGTGAATGGCACATTATAGTCCTCATTATATGAGGAATGAAAGTTTAAATATTGTTTTTNACGAATCTGTCGACTTGGATAGATGGTATTGTGAATAGAGATGCCTCTGAGACGTAACAGGCGGCAGTACGAGCAGTTGACGGAGTTTGAAAGGGGCCGTATAGTAGGCCTCAGAGAAGCCGGTTGGTCGAACAGGCGTATCGGCCGCCACCTCTGTCGGAGCGATATGGGTAGTTGCTCGGTGTTGGCAACAGTGGATGACGGAAGGGAAAGTTTACCGTCGCAGAGGGTCAGGACGTCCCAGAAACACAAATGAGCGGGAGGATCGCGCAATCAGAAGAGCGGCAACGTCCGCACCAACAATGTCGCTATCATCGATTCAACGCCATTTACCACCTTCCAGGCATACGGTGGCATCAAGGGAAACCATTAGGAGACGACTGGCCGATGCTGGTATAAGGAGCTGACGTCCATTAAAACGCTTACCACTGACCCCACATCATAGGCAGTGTCGATTGGATTTTTGCCGATCTCGGACAAGTTGGAGTGTGACTGACTGGAGGCGTGTGGTCTTCAGCGATGAATCCCGATTCAGTCTCAGTGCTGATGACCACCAAACACGCGTGTGGAGGCGGGCTGGCCAGCGGTCCGATCCGGCATCTGTTGTCGAGCGGCATACAGCGATTACACAAGGTGTGACAGTGTGGGGAGCGATTTGTTATGACACACGATCACCTCTAGTTGTCCTTGAAGGCAACATGACGGCTCGCAGTTATGTGGACAGCATTTTAACGCCNCGGTTAATGTCGGGACTGCCCCACATTGGATTGTGACCATTGAAATCACCGAGTAAAAGGAAAGGAGTTGGCAGCTGTTCAACTAGTGTATCCAATTCATCCTCATTGACTCTGACATCTGGTGGCAAGTATATAGAACAGACTGTGACAGTTACGCCAATTGAAATTTTGACTGCCACAGCTTGCAGCTCTGTTGTTATTTGTACCGGTAAGAATGGAATGCGATTTGAAATCAAAATAGCCACACCGCCACTGGCACAATTGTGACTATCATCATCCTTGCGGTATAGATTGAATCCTTTTAAAGTAATTCTTTCTCCAGGTTTCAGATGGGTTTCCTGGAGTGCCACGCAGAGAGATGAGGTAGATGATGTCAAGTGTTTAATGTCAGACAAGTTGTTTCGGAAACCACGACAGTTCCATTGGATTATTTTATAATCCATTATATGTTTGAGGCAGCATTCTTTGTGAAGGTATCCCTCTTCAGCTTTACGGCTGATTTTCCTTTTGGAGGTGAAGTTGGTGGTGTCACCTCCTTATTAGTCTCCTCATCAGAGAAGTCAGAGAACTCACTCATAGACTGAGCCTCTGATCTCTTAGATTTGGAGATGGCTGTTTTTAATTTTTGTCTGTTGAGCAGGTTCTTAGCAGTCTTCTTAGAACCCCATATTTCTAGTCATTACCCGTTTTATGTAGGGGTGTTTTGGTCTTCTTGCTCTACTTTTCTGCTGTTTGGGTAGATGGTATTAGCAAACATTTTTCATGGCGAGCTAGAGATTCATTTGGTGAAACAGAAATGTCTGTCTGAACTCCACATGTCTTTGTGGATTTCAGAACAGCAGCAAATGTCTTCTGTTTCACTGGTGCATTTAAAGTGACCATGCGTCGTGCCTCTGGGTAAAGTATATTATTCACCGTCTTTACCCGCTGAATCTCTTTCTCTCTTTGCCACATAGGACATTTTCAGGAGTAAGCAGGATGGACCTCTTTGCAGTTGACACAGCATGGAGTGGTTGTACACTCAGTACCCTGGTGGCCTTCAACTCCACACTGTGCACATAAACTTTTGCCTCGACATAATGTTTGGGAATGTCTAAATCGCTGGCATTTATAGCAACGCAGCGGATTTGGAATGTACGAATGAACCAGACAGCGCAGATATCCTGCAGTAATAAATGATGGTAATGTTGACTTTCCGAAAGTAAGAATAAGATGTTTACTTGGTATCAACTTGCCATCTTGACGAATGGAGATGCGTCGGACGGCAATGACTCCTTGATCCAAAAGACCAATCTGTATATCTGATTCGTCTTCATACGTCAGATCAATCTCGGATATCACCCCACGTGATGAATTTAGACTTCCGTGTAAAGTGAAAGTAAGTTCCATGTCTCCAAGTGTTTTGGTTGCCAATAGATTTACTGTTTGTTGAGGTGAGGCTGTTTCTACCAGCAGGTCCCGACCTCAATTTTTTGTATCTTTTTCAAGTGCCCAATAGTTGATTCAAATATTTTTTGAATAAGAAATGGAGAGCATTTTGACAGTGGTTTATCACCAGTCGTGTAAACTATCAAATAGGTTGCAGTGCTGGAAACGTTGGTTGTTACTGAAGGTAATTTATCCCTATTTAATTTTTAATTTTTGAAATCCATATTTAGACAAAACAATTCAGCTCCTAGTGACCCCACCCACCATGGGGCCCAACGAAGGAATGCCGTCACATGGGAGACTCCCGTAGACCGTCACACCAGGGTTTTCCAGGAGCTATACCCTCACAATGCAGTCAAGAAGAGCACATCTTGTCAGACATGTCCACCCGATCTGCATCGATCGGTTGACTCCAAGCCGAGGTCACAAATGACTCAACGACCAGCCGATTAACTGATACAAAGCCTGATTTGAGCCTCCCGTTTATCCGAAGCAGAGGCCAAAGCAGTGTGTTGGAAACGTTATGTTGCCCTTTAACTTCCAGGATCCCCCTTTCCGGTATACGGGACACCACGCACGGCAAACACGTGGGTCGACGATCAGATCCCAGGGATGGTAAAGAAGAGTTACTAAACCATCTATGTGAGGTCCCCTCACCACAGACAGGAAACCACATCGAGGGGTGTACAGATAAGGATGAGATGCATTTTGAAACCAGTATAGCCACACCGCCACTGCTACGGTTGTGGCTATCATCATCATTGCAATAAAGATCAAATCCTTTTAGAGAAAATTTCTCCAGGTTTTAGATGGGTTTCCTGGAGTGCCACACAAAGAGATGAGGTAGATGATGTCAAGTGTTTAACGTCAGAGTTGTTGCGAAAACCACGACAGTTCCATTGGATTATTTTATAACCCATTATGTGTTTGAGGCAGCATTCTTTGTGAGAATATCTCTCTTTAACCAAACAGGCAGTTTTTCTTTTAAATGTGATGTTGGTTTTGTCACCTCCTGATTAGTCACTTCATCAGAGATTCTTGTCAGAAAACTCACTCATAGAGCGAGCCTCTGATGTTTTACATTTAGAGAAAGCCATTTTTACTCTCTGCTTGTTTATTGGGTTCTTACTAGCCTGTTTAGAACCCAGGTTTCTTGTTATTACCCCTGTTTTAGGTAGGGGTGTTTTTAATTTTATACTCTCCTTTTCTGGTGTTTCTTTTGGTGGAATTAGTAAACTTTTCACATGCCTGGTGAGAGTAATTTGGGGGAAACAGAAATATCGATTTGAACTCTATGTCTTTGTGGGTTTCAAAGCAGCAGCGAATGTCTTTTGTTTTATTGGGTATCTTCTGTCTTTGTTGACATTACTGTAACTAATCAGAGACTTGTAAAAGGAAAAATTGCCATGAAAAGTCCTGCCTCCAACCTTCGAAGTAAAATGTGAAAAATCACAGTACATTTACTTTTTAAATCGCTTTTAACACTAATTAACTAATTTAACATTTTAAGACATAAAATTAGCTAATTCAACAATATTTAATCATAAAAATATGTTTTTTAAACTATCTAGCAACAAATATTCCTGGGAAACTCCACATCTCTATAGTAAGTCTATGGAAGACGTTTTTACTGTTAATTGGCTTTAAAATTTTTGTTTCTATGCCTAATACGCTGTAATTGGTAATTTATATTATGACTGAATCAACTTCAACGAATGAGAGTGTTTCAGAACCATCTGGTCTGGATTTTTCCGCGAAGAACCAATCCATATGAATGAAGTCATTATGTAAACGAACGTAAAAAAATAGCTATAGCTATATTCATTATTTTAGAGTGTAATTCTACTAGTTTTCAAGTTATTTAACTATTTAGACAAGGAGATTTTTTATCAAAAGCTTCCAGCTGAAAAATTTTCCGGGAAACTCATTACTTCCAGATATTGCGTAATCGCAAAAAAAATTAACTAATCATTTATTATAGGGTATTATATATAGTGTAGAAAAAATATGTAAAAGATGTCAAATATTCACTCTTTTAAAAGTATGTTGATAACCTTTGACCTAAAAATACCCAAGCCACTAACCACTCCCCGCTGTTGGTCATATAGGGAGACAGAGTATATTGTAAACAAGGACTTTACTCAGAACTGTTTATATATACGTGAGGGCAAAGTCGAAGTTTTGCAGTTACGTAATAAGAGAAAATACGTAAACAATTGCTTGCAAATTTGCATTGTATAGTCGATTACTGCAATATTCATCAAAATAATATAGAAATACTTCTTATTCTAAGTAAGATTTATTTTGTATCGGTCGTACAGCTCACTAACGAGATAATTACTTTCCCCAAAGCAATAAATTTTACAACCCCACTCTCATTAGACATCCTTCCCTACCTAAAAGTTTTTACATCTGTTTTCCTTGTCTTGTAATCTAAGACCCCAGCAGGAGAAAGTACATGTGTGACGTATGGTAATAAACATTCCGTGCCGGTGGAATTTTACAGTTGGCAATTATTCAGTCTAACTTTCGATATGGCAAGTACAAGTGGTGTGTCACGTTACCAAAGCAGCATAACGATTTCTCAGACAGAAAAACTTAGTGATAATGGTTCATTATTGCTAAGTTCTTCTGTGATCAGTGAAGACGAAGAAGAAATAATTCAGGTGAGTGGGATTTGGCAACTCATTCAACCCAATCAACAGTTCAATCAACAAACCTTTCCACACGCATTCAGTGGAGGACTGAAAAATATAAATTTGTCCTTGAATGACAAGCCGATTAAGTTCTATGAACTTTTTCTGAACAGTAAAGTAATTGAACACATTACCGAACAGACAAGCATATATACCGCGCAATCGTGGTAACTAAAACTATCAAAGCAAGTAACAGACTGAAACTATGGAAACAAACTACCTCAGGTAAAATGAGGAAATTTCGTTTGTTTCGTTTCTGTTTTTTGGCACAAGAGCCATATAGGCTATGCTGCGCCAGGGCAAATAGTTAAAAAATTTTAAACGAAATTTCTCAGATTGTTATGTATGGGGTTAGTGAAATACCCGAAATTATCCGACTATTGGAGTACACAAAGAATCTATAAAAATATTGCTGGGACCAAAACCTACCGCCGAAAGTACAAATAAAGAAATAGATGCATTTTACTTCTTTATTACTGATCAAATGATTGAAGGAATCGTAACAAATATTAACATATATATCCAGAAAAAAAGGGCTGACTTCAAGTATGCAATAGATAGAGACTGCAGAGATACAACCAAAACAGGAATAAAAGCCCTCTTTGGAACATTGTACTTGATCGGTATAAAAAAAGGGTATCACACTAATTGCTGTGAGCTCTGGTCTTCCGATGGTACAGAAATGATCCTTTTACGAATCCTTTTCAGTTAAAAACGTTTTCGGTTTTTGCTTCATGCACTTAGATTTGACAACTTAGAAACCAGGGATGAACAAAAAATAACTGATAAGCTTGCACCAAGAGTTTGTCAACAATTGTATAGGCAGTTTCAATGTGAGTGAGTTTGTGACAATTGACATAATGCTTGTTTTAGAGGACGCTGCAGATTTGTACAATACATTTCTAATAACCCTGCGAAATACGGAATAAAAATACAGAATAAAAACTCTGTGATGCTAAAACCTTTTATACTCTTAATTTTCAGATTTATTGAAGAAAGCAGGTGCCCTTAAGGGCCCTGTGAAGGCCGATGATATAGTAAAGAGATTAGTCGTGCCAATAGAAAAAACAAAAAGAAATGTTACTACAGATAATTACTACAATAGGTATCCTTTGGCAGTAGATTTATTAAATAAAGGGCTTACCTTTTTAAGAACAATGAAGAAAAACAAACAAGATATACCTCCAGAATTTCTTCCAAGCGAAACCAGACAAATAAATTCATGTCAATTTAGTTTTCAGCATGATTATTGTATTGCTTCAATAATTCCAAAGAAAAATAAAGCTGTAATCTTTCTTTCAACCATGCATGACACTCCTGAAGTTGATCAGGAAACTAACAATGCTGTGATAAATTTGGACTACAATGCTACTAATGGTGGTGTAGACACTGTAGATCAGATGTGTTCATCCTAAACTACATCCCAAATTACAAGGAGATGGCCACAAGCTCTCTTTTATCGTCATCTCGATATTGCTGGAATAAATTCTAATATTATATTTAAATTTAATAATCCCAATAACAAAGAGAGAAGACGACATTTTATAAAAAAACTCGCCCTAAGTCTAATGGAAGAACATTTGAAAGAAAGATCTCTGATGCTGTCACTTCCTAAAGACATTTGCACATTAAAGAAGAGCTGCCCAAAAAAGTAGCAAAACCAGGAATTTGTTTTATTTGTGGCAAACACAAAAACAATAGGACAAAATCGATTTGTCAGGAATGCGGTAGAAATGTTTGCAAAGAGCATAGTAATATAGTTATTATATGTGCCATATGTGAAAGTGAACATCACATGGAAGTAGAGTGAGTTCTTTTTATTATCTAAATATTTTATAAACAATTTATTTAATAAAATGTCGTAAAATTAGTTTCCTGTATATCTGAATCATATTTTCAAAACAATAATTAATTATTGACTTTATCAAGTGATATTACATATGTGGTGTAATTGCCGCGATGCGCCCTCTCGTGAGCTCCTGAATGGTCCCCAAGGGGTTAACCTTTGTTAAGTGATGTGATTTTATATTATAAAAAATGCATGATACAAAATTTTCTAGAAGTTCAATAAACTTATTGGAATGCATATATAAATATGAGGACTGGGGAGAGGAAAGTAATGAGAAGAAGCACTTCTTTTTAATGCCTCATAGATGCTGTAATTCTATCGTATTTAAAACTAAATAAAATTCGACAAATGATGCAACGAGCTGATCGAATATCATCATCATTACGATTTAACCAAGATTTGAATTTATTCACTCA